AGGAGGAGGAAGTTTGTCAGACTTGACTGATTCATGAAGAAAATAACTTTCTATACTAGTACTTTCCAGAGAGCTGCTAAGTTGTCTTCTTTTAGGAAGGTTTTAGCATTCTTACCTTTCCAAACTCAAATAAGATCTTCTGTTAATATTAAATGGAAACAGATAAGACCCAAATAGCTCAATGGCAGTCTTATAAACCAAAATTGGGAGAGCTTGACTGTTGATTTTCTTAATTTTAATGGGGATTATGAAACTAGATACTTCTATTTCAAGTTGAAACCAAAGAAGTTCAAGCTAGAAATAGGATATATATTTTTAATTATTCCATTAATCACTTCAGCAATGTACTGTTTCAATGGCTTTGCTAGCACTGGAAAAAATTAAAATCCAGTTCCAAGGCTTCTTGGAAGATTCTTTAGTTCAAAAATACTTATTAAATTTGAAGCAGGAGTTAATATAGGAAAATGCCAAGGACTGTGTCTGTGTTGGATGGTCAGACTATCATGGCATTTAAAATAAATATGTTCTTTAAAATTTTTTCATTATTAAGTTTATTATTTTTATTATGAGATAACTTAATCTTCTTATTTGTTTCCTCTGCAGTTTCTTGAATCATCAGCAAATATGTTTGCTGCAGCACAGCAGTTGTCTCAAAATACTAATCCGGGTGAGCTTTTTTTTTGTTACTGTGCTTGTTGCTGTGGCAGCAGAATGCTCACTACAGTCCCAAAGTAGGATCCTGCCAGGAAGGCTCCTAGCACTGAAACATGACTTGCATTAGGGCTTTGGGTTTTGCTTTGTCAAAAGGAATGTTTGGTTGAAATGTAGCTCAAAACCCAAGAGACACCTACTTCATATTTGTCAATAATTCACTAAAATTTTAAGACTTTTTAAAAAGGCACACATTACATGTCTCCCGTTACCTTATGTCTCCAGACTGTATTTAAGTCTTAGACACTCCCAGCTTAGAGCACTGTCCAGCTTCCCAGTGACCTTGACTCTCCAAACACTTCTGCTCTTGCTTGAGAGCTTGAGTTCTCTAAGTACCCAGAAGCACAGTGTTCTGAGGAGGGCGTTTGCCTCCTACCTGCTGCAAGTCTAGGTCATGAGCTGCTTGAATTTCCTAGAAAAGCTGGAAGACTGCTTGTCTCACATCTGACTCACAGTTACTCGAAGGAACTGCTTTGTGATAGTTAAAAGCTCGTCACAGAAGCACCTGTATTTTTTATAAGTTCTTGTTAAAATAATACAAGAAATGGACAGTCAGGGATTTAAAATCCACTCGTTTGCCACAGGGTGGCCAGGCTGTACGAATATTCAGAGAGGGAGCAGCATCCAGTCCTTTTGACTTAGGCTGGGATGCAGCAGCAATCAGCTTGCTAGAATTGGGGAGCTGGCAAGAGAAAAGGCAGAAGGATCCATTACTCCTTTTTGTAAAAAGACAAAGCCTTGTCACATTTGGGGCCTGTCTGCAGAAGTGTGCTCTGCATCCTTCCATAACCCTTGGGGCTTGCATTCTGGACTGTAATTACTGTGATTTCCCACATAATTAAAAGATGAAAGATACATAAGTTAGAATGTTCCTTTACAGGGATATATCTCTGACTTGGGGGGCAACTTGGGTTAAATAAAGTGTCTCCAGAAGATTGCTGGTGCTGAGGAACCCAGCATCAGTGCTGTGTATGTTTCAGGAGGTTTACTTCAGACTGTCTCCTTTGGTCCCAGGGACTCAATGCTCTGCAGTGGTTGACTGCCTTGACTGTGCCTTTGAGGCTAATCTTCTTATTTACTTTCATCCAAAAATCACCCATTTTGGGCAGTCCAAGATTGTTCTCTGATGGAAGCCACACCTGTTAAAACAGGGACAACAGGACAAGGTTTCAAAAGCCCTGTCTTAGTCCAGGGTGAAATGCTAATACAGATGAACCCATAGGTACCTGCTTTGGGAGGAATAGGTTTGGGCTCTATTTCATAGCAGCAGCAGCAGGTGCTCTACTGAGCCTAGTGGCTGGACTCTTATGGTACAGCCAGTATTCAACCCCTGGACACTTACCAGGCATGAAAGACAAGACCATGACTGCATTTTCCATGCATCTCATCCTTGATTATATTACTGATGGATGGTGGGTTCCCCTCCCTCCAGTATTCTCAATGGTGTCACCCAGTATGTTCTTTCTTGATCCACTGTTAACTGCAGCTAAGCAGTTGTTTAAGTCACCAAATTCTATTTGATAAAGACTTAATTTCCTTAGGAATGCTCCTTTTTCAATTATACCCATAGGGCAAACAAAAGAATAGGGGGTTTTTTGCCTTTTGAACAAGTTAAACTAACTTAGTTAAATTTGAAATGTCCTTTGTGCTCAGAAACAGCGCAGCTGCTTTTGATCGTATCTGATGGAAGAGGCCTTTTCTTGGAAGGCAAGGAACGAGTGACAGCAGCAGTTCAAGCAGCTCGGAATGCCAATATCTTTGTTATTTTCGTAGTGTTGGACAATCCTAATTCCAGGGTAAGTAAGGGAGCAAGGGAAAAGTATTCAACTGCAGTGAATGAGAATCCGATACAAATCTTCCTGTCTTTTGTAGTGCCATACAGCTACCTTATCTTTTGTGTAGGTTAAAGATATTTAAGCCCAATTTCAGTTTTTCACATCTGTCAGATCTATGATTTCTTCCTACTGTGCTTCTTATATCCTCTTTTGTACTTAAAAAAACCCTCAGCTTCCTAGCCACAGAAAGGCTAAGTAAGAGCTCCCATCTTCAAATGTAATGGTTGTAGATCTTGGCCACCAGGGAAGTAGCTGGCAGGTTGATAGATTTGGAGTCTGAGAGATGCTTTGTTCCATCACAGTTCTGATTCAACTTGATAATTTCTGACAGCAGTCTCCATTTGACATGACAGCTGGAGCCAATATGAGATTAAACATAGACAGAAAGGAGTATGTGAGAGTTATTTAGTGCCTGAATTGGAAAAGTTGAGTTCTGTATCTGGTAGTTGGGGGAAAAAAAACTGTTAGATATCCTTGGCTGGGAAGCTGAAATACGTGGGAGCTTTTCAGGAAGACTCTGAGTGCAATAAGTGAGGAAACTTAAGCTTTATTTTGAATTATGTGGTGAAGACTGATTTTGTAGTTCACATTTTCTTCCTCTATTTTTTCATACAAAACTCATCTGCTATATTTATTGTTGAAAAACTAACAGATCCCTTGCTGACAAACTGTTCTGATGAAGCCTGGCTGTTCAGACACTGTTGCCCAATATCAAGCAAAAATTATGGGTGTTTTTCGTAAGCGTTTTTCCTAGGGAGAAAAAAGGTGTTTTTTCATAAGCTTCATTAATTTTCTGAGCTGCTACACTGAGCAACTAAGAAGTTACTTTACAAGAAGCACAGGTGGACTTTAATCTGATTTTTGTCTTTGTAGTATTTGTTGAAATATTTTGAAGTAAGTTGCTAAAGAATCTTGTATTAGAGCACTGCACAAATACAAGTTGAACTCAGCCCTAAAGAGCTTAAAGACACGAGTGTCGGAAAGGCACCAAATATATAAAACTAAAGTGGTAACAGTAAACTCGACTTATAAAATGCTAGGGAAAGGCAATATTTACGGAACTTGGTATTGCAGAAACTTAAGCTTAGTCTCTTCTAGCCTGTAATTCATGGATTAGGGCACTTTTATCTAAAAGGGCAAAAGTATTTAACTGCTTTGTGTTCAGATTTGATCTGATTTACCATTGAATGCTTACAGCTTTTAATCTTAGAAGTATTTTATTAACTTTTAATCTAATGGGAGAAATTATAAGTATTTGAAAAATAGGATAAATTATATCAGTGGTCATAAAAGATGCATGTCATTTAGCAGTAACATAAATACTTTTTTACAGGATTCCATTTTGGACATTAAAGTACCTATATTCAAAGGACCTGGAGAATTGCCTGAAATCAGATCTTACATGGAAGAATTCCCATTCCCATTCTACATGATCCTCAGAGACGTGAATGCACTTCCAGAAACTTTGAGTGATGCGCTCAGACAGTGGTTTGAACTGGTGACTGCCTCAGACTCTTTGTAGACTTTGTAGACAAAGTCAGGACCCGATTGCTGCTAAACTGCTGAAATACATGAAACGGTATTTCACTGGAGGGATCATAAAGTCCCTTCCTAAGTAGGATTAACCTGCAGGAGCTGCCCTTGGGCAGTCAGACTGCACAGAACTAAGTGATTTAGGTGCATTCTTCCATGTTTGTCAGAGGACAATTATGCAATGGCAAGACTGTCTCCTGCTATTCCTACAAATAATGTAAAACTTTCAACTTCTCTTGTAATAACTTATTACCTTAAAAAAAAAGTATTTGTAATATTCACAGAGGTACAATTATTCCTGCCACTCTGCTGCCGTAGGAAAAATGCTTCTGGGAAGGCATTTCTGTGTTAGAACTTGAGGTGTCTGGCAAAAAAGCATTCTTTAGCTTCACCCATGTGGCTGTTGCCTCTGGGAAGGCGTAGAGGAGCATGGAAGCAGGTGGTTTTAAACAACCAAAAAAATGAGTACTTGAATACTTGGAAGTACTCTGCGGTTTAACACATCCTATTTAATTATGGCGGATTTTTGTCTGATGATATCAACAGGGAGTTTTCTGAATAATGCCATATGCTGATCTCCGTACTATCAGTTTACACTGTGAATTTGCCCCTCTGTCCGAGGCAGACATTGAGGATGTTTCATAAATCCAATGTCTTAGGAGCACGGACGTGATTTTTCATTGCAAAGGCTATGCATCTTGTATCGTCTGTACTAATTAAAAGAGGTACCACTCTTTTTAATTATTATGTCTGTTCTTTGAATTGATCAAAGCTGGAATGAATAAGCCGAACTTCCCACAGGGAAGGAGCACCGCGCGCTCCCTCCCTGTGCGCGGCGGTGAAACCCCAGCAAATGGCGGCGGTGGCCCCGCCCGCCGGGGCGGCCCGGCGGCCCGTGCGGGGCAGAGGGCGAGCCGCGTCATGGCGGCCGGCGCGTCCCGCCGGCGCGCCCTAAACTTGAAGCAGGACGGCGGGCCTTGGGCCGGGGGCGGCGGGGCCTTGTCCCGCGGCGGGACGCGGGCAAGCTGCGCCTTTTAGAAAAGGCGACGGGGCCCTCTGTGTTTGGTTAAATGTCCCTCGAAGCAAAGCCGCCGAGGGTGCGGCTGGCAGCAGTGTCCTGGGGCAGCGGGCAGACTTCCTCTCTTCTTCCCAGTTCCTGAGGCGGCAGCAGGTCCTTCAGTTATACCGCAAGATCCTGCGGGCGATCCGGGAGGTCCCTGCTGAACAGGATCGCCGCTACTTAAAGGACTGGGCCAGGGAGGAATTCAAGAGAAATAAGGATGCTACAGAAGAGGTGAGGATCGGGAACCCGCAGCCCTGACCGCCTGCCCTCGAGAATGGTCACTGCTATCCTGTCCTGTGTCTTGGGGGGGGTTGTTTTGTAGGTGTCACTTCCAGACTGGTGAGAAGTCTCCTGTTACTATTTTCTCATTTGTAGAAGAAATAATCCATCATATCTATAAATATTATCCCCCATGTTGGTGGTAGTAATGTTTCTCTTAATTTCCAGATAATAATCTGGAATTAAAAAGCTAAAAAACAAATATTCTGCTTACTCAAACCACAGATCAGGCAAATTGTACTGAGTAATACGGTAACTAACATAAACTTATTAATGGTTAAGCTTTTTTTTAAAAAAAAAAATCTTTCAACTACATTCAAGCAGAATACAATGAAATCAGATGGTTTGGGATATGACACAAGTATGAAATGCAGAAACCTCCGCATTTCTTGTATGTCTCCAGTCCTCCTTTCTTGTTTGTTCCTTTTTGTAGCCAGAGCCCAAGGAATTTGTGGCTGAACTATGCCGACAAAGCCTTAGAGAACATATATAATGTTGGGAGGAACAGCCACCTGCTCTGTAAAAGCCCTGTCTCCATAATGCCCCACAAGCGCCTGTCACTACTGACGTGCAGAGGTGGTAGACACAGAAGCATAAAGAAAACATTGTTAGGAGTTTGAATCCAGTTAAAAACTGAATTATTAAACAAAACCACAACCAAGCACATCATTAAGGAACTGGGAAAAATTAATTCATTTAGGCACCTGTTTCTTAACCACCTCAGTGACTACAGTGTTACTTCACACATAGAAATAGATGACAGCAGTGCCGGTAAGAATTTTATGTATTTTAATGCCTTAGAAATCTGCATGGTTGTGTAAAACCTGTGTACACTGTGTTCAGTTCAGTAGACTCTATTTGGTTTTACAGGATGCAATCAGGATGATGATTACTCAAGGCAACATGCAACTGCAGGAACTTCAGAGAACACTTAAGTTGGCAAAATCCTGATACTGATTTTGTTGACAGTTGGACTTTCATCTGCTGCAAACAAGAATAGTGGTTTTTTTCAGAATGTGGTTATAATGGCAGCTTTTGCTGGCAACCTGGTAAAGTTTGAAGGGGGAATCTACCACAGTGGGGATGTTGTTTGGTTTTTCCCCTTCCCCTTTCACTTCTTGGTTTGGTTACCTTCCTGTGTGGAAATCACTCAGACATAAGGAACCGAATGGATGATGTAGCATGAGCTGTGGGAAAAGCAGAAAGCACCAAAAATTACAACAGCAGTGTTACACCTGTGAAATAGAAAATAAATATGAACCAGATTTTTTTGTCTTATTTTTTACTGTGGCAAGTGTAGGTGGTAACATTGACAGTGCTAACAGCTCTCCATGTACTGTGCCAAGGATTTTTACCAAAATTTATGATTAAAAAAGCATTTGGGATAAATAAATGGGCCCAGAACAAATAAATGTGACAAAACTCTGAAGAAAGTGTTTTGTATGTAGATACTAATTTTTCAGTAGTAGCTGAATAAAACTTATGTATGAATATGAGAGATTTTAGCCCCAGAGACGGTTATTACCAAGTCAACAGGAATTACCTTCAAGCTAGTATTTAAAAGCCAATATAAAGCAGAATTACAGCTAGAAAGTACTAACTGCAAATATTGTGGTTTGGTTTTCCAAATATTACGATACTGCAGTTTTGTTAGCTTGCAACTGTTCTGACTTTCTTTGAGCTGCAGTATATCTTTTATATCACATATATCACATAACTGGATGGACAGCAGCAGAGAGATACCTGACTATCCAGTACTGTGTGCAATTTAGGTTGTGGTTCTAAGACTTGCAGAACTCCTTCCTCTCGCACTTTGCTGTTGCAGTTCCCTTAGGGAGCCACCCCCCCATGCCAAGGTGGCTTTCTGCTGGGTTGGTGAGCTGGACAGCAAATCCAGTAAGTGCCATCACTGGCACAAGAGAAGGGACAGGATGCTACTCCAGGCTACAGGAGGGATGACAGGCCCTAGATGAGAGCAGGAAGTATGCTGCTTGCTGGAGCCAAACAAAGCCTCTTCAAAGTTGCTTCGCAAAAAGCTGCTGCTTAACAAGGAGGAATGCCTTTTTTTTTTTTCTGATTATTTTTCTGAAAGTCAGTGTAGAATCCTTTCCTATGATGTTTATTTAGCTTTGCAGTAAAGAATGTGCCTCAAGCAACCACTAAGGCTGCTCACAGATATGGGTTTGTATAGACAGAAGCTTCTGAGCATCAGTCAGTCAGTGAAATATATGTATGTAAAAACATTTTGTTAAACATTTACATTCTGCTAACATTTTCTGGTAGGATACACTGGCAGTATTAGGGTGTTGGGGATTGATTTTACATGTTAGTGGACACTGCTGCTTAAAAAGGAATTTTGATTAAACAAACTGTAGCCAATTTTGGCTGTTACCACAGGTAACCTTCCCTTTCCCTTCAGCCAGTGCTTGGATTTCTGCTCCTTAATTAGGAGGCTTTATGCTGCTGCCTCGTTTTGGAGCCCTGCACCTGCATTACTCCTGTGACTCCCAGTTTTTATGTTTCTAGGTTGTGGGCACCTAATCCAGGACTAGAATTGACAGGCAGTGCCTGGACAGCTGCTGACCTCATGAGTGACCCTGAGACTGCCTTGGTTGCTTAGAGCATGGTGCCAATAACACCAAGGCTGCGGGTTTGATCCCTGTGTGGGCCACTCGCTTAAGGGCTGGACTCAATGATCCTTGTGGGTCCCTTCCAACAGAGAATACCTGGAAGTGCTGCTGCCTGTCATCTCCACTGCTCTGTGGGCTTGTTGAGGTAAAGCTGCCTGCCAGAAGTCTTTAGGAGTCCAACATAGTCTGTGAGAGTAAGTAAATTTACCAAGTATGTCCTGCAGAGGAAGACAGAGGTATTTGTAAAGTCCAAGGAATTAGGATAAAATGCCTCCGTTTCTTTTACCATACGCTCATGAGCTTCAGAGAACCTCTAATGTCAGTAACCTGCAGCCAGGTTGCTGTCTTAAATTACTTGGATTTACTTAAATTACTTGGACATATGACCTTAGTAGCGTGGTCTGTATGTGAAACAGATGAGCTGAAGCCATGGCCTCTCCCTTGTGCTTGGGCAAGCTCAGGAGTGTGTGTGATCAGCTGCACAACTCAGCCCTGCACCAGTAACTTCTGAAATGGTGGGTGCCTGCACCAGCTAAGAAACAGCACTCACTCCCTGCAGCCTCCCTCGGGACAGATGGTAGGCTCTGTTCCCATGGTTTATAGCCACAAAAGCTTAGAAGTTGAAGTCTAATTTTCTGCTCCCTCTTCCAAGTGAAATGAGGGGATCCAATCAGTTTTCCCTGGCTAGAAAATGTTACGCCACAGATCTCTGAGCAACACTTACTTTAATTGCTTGGCAAAACATTAACTTTATCCAGATGATACAAAACTTCAGTAGCATGCTTCTGCATTCCTACATAGCTTAAACAAAACTGTAAACATAAGAAAGTGTCTATATTAGACTACAGAAGTCAGAGCAACAAAACTAGTATTTCCATAGATGCAGATACATTTGTCTTGATAGTGCATTAATAGGAACTTTAAAAAATATTGTTATATGATACAACTTTCTTTATACATCTGCTAAGAAGACAAAAGCTTAATTACTAATTAGTCAGTGGTGTCTTCAATGCTGTATAAAGTATTTTGTACTGATTTTAGGGCTCCCCAGTACAAAACTATTTTTCTCCTTGGCAGTACCATACTGTGTTAGAAATCAGTTCAATCATGATCTGGTAAGTAAACTTACTTTCCTAACAGAATCTGATGGAGCCTTCTTAGAGGTATAAGGAGGAAACCCTAAAGGCAATGAGTTACACTGCCTTTAGATCATTTGGAGTTTGTCAGTGTGGACAACATTGGCCAGTGTAATTTTGATTGTATAACAAAAGGCATAGATAAAGACTTGAAAATGCTGTTAAGTTCTGTTTTGTGGGACTTTGTCCTAAGACCTTCAAACTCACCAGGGCCTGGTCTCCTTTTTAGAGATAAAGGAAAAAACCAGAGGAGTTATTCACAAGAACAAAGGTAGACAGTCCAGACAAAGTGTCTGGGAGAACATCCTGACTGCAGAAAAAGAAATATTGGAGTAGAGGGAACCAAGCTTTCACTTCTTTAAATAAAAGACTTTTTCAAGCTTCTTCAACAGTTGAGAATTCAGCCATTTGCTGCTTGAAGGAAAAGAGATTTATATAAAACTTACACCTAACAAGTAGACCATGGTTACAATAAAATATTTGCTATCCAGGCCTTAAACAAAACTTCTCTGTCAAATTACAGGAGTACAGCCCCAACAATTGTGTAACCACAACGAGCTCTGCAACCAGGACACCATTTAAAAGACGATAAATCTGATTTAGCATTCATTCTAATAATGTAAAACCAAGAGTAAAGCAAAATGGCAGCCAAAGCCTATGTCCCTATTGGGATGAGTTGCCTTAGCATCTCCATCCACGGTTGCCTGCCCTTTTCCAGCTGGAAGCCTACATCTGTCACCTACCTGGGCTTGATTATAATTGGAGTGGGTTCTGTAGCTTTTCTTCATTGACTAGAGACAGGCCCTGGGGAGTATCTAAAATAGGATCAATAGCCCTTCATCACTAAGGAATTCTGTCAAAAGCTCTCAAACATCCTGGATTTATTTCAGTAATGGTATGACCACGTGTTTACATGTAGCATACAGTGGAACCCTCTAGCCACACATGACCTATGTGGAAATAAGGGAATTCCCTTTTCAGAAAGCAGTTTTGGTTGCTAATGCATTTGTTTTCAAGCAGCATCTGAAAACCGAGAGTGCAATATTAACAGACTCTTGGAAATAACAAAGAAAGGATCTAATCTGCAGCATCTCATTGTTATCAGTGTAGTCTGCATATGAATTCTCCTCAGTTATGGAGCTTCCAGAGTTATTTCTACTCCTGAAAAAGAGTGTTTTGTTTGGATGTAACAGGCACTACAAATATCTGTCAATATTCCAGATTCCCATACAGCAGGTTCCAAGATGAGTCCTGTTGCTTGACTGCCTGCTTGGCAGTTGCTAGCTGTCTTTCTGCACCTTAGTCCTTAATTTGCTGAGCTCCTCTTCTAAGCATTTAATGTGCTCCTTGAGTGCAGCTTTGTCCTGTTGCGCTCTCTGGTTTGCTTGGCACCGGGCTTCTTCTATCTTCCGCTCATACCACTTCTCCATCTGTGTGGACACGGCCTCGAAGAAGTACTGTGTTATCTCCAGGGCCTGGGAGGTGTCTCTGAGGGGAGGGGCGGGTGGCTGTCCTGCAGGCAGGGGGCAGGGCTGCTGCTCCTGGCTCTGGTGTGCCCCGGCGTGGTGCAGAGCTTTGTGCCTTGACTGCCCACTTTTGCTGGACTTTTTTGTCTGAGTTCCTTTGTCAATGAAGTATCCACTTTGTGGTTCAGTCTTTGCAGGTTCAGTCAATGGCTGCAAAGCAGCTTGAACCTTAACATGTCTTAATTTGGAGCCCAAAAGCTCAGAGGAGGGCAGCTCCTGCTGGAACCTTTGGAACGTGCTGGCACTTACAGCTTTGTCCTTTGGCCTGACATCTTGACCAGGGGCAGAAGAAGAAACCGGTCCACCAGCCATTGACTGTTGCTCTGTACCTACAGAATAAAATATAGATAATATGTTAAGAAAAGCTCTGGGCATTTATTTTAGCATTCAGAAGCCCTCGTTTGATGAATGATGCAGTACCATGCTGTGTACATTGTACAGGCTTATATTAGTTTAACACATCTTCACAGTCAGGTGATGTAGTAAAGGGAAAAGCTGGCTCCAGCAGGGAGGTGCTGCACTGTGGCTGTGGGTCTGCACACTGACCACTGTGAGGGTGGTGAGGCACTGGAACAGGTTGCCTGAAGAAGTTATGGATTCCCCATCCTCGGAAGTGTGCAAGGCCAGGTTGGATGGGGCTCTGAGCAACGTGGTATAGTGAAAGGTGTCCCTGCCCATGACAAGGGGGTTGGAACTAGATGATCTTTAGGGCCCCTTCCGACTTAAAATTCTGTGATTCCACAACTTCATCAGAAGGACGTGTAACAAAGGTCAGCCTAGATTTCCAAAATAGGTCTGCTGATATTTACGAACACTCTGCTTTTATAAAACTTGAAGCCCCAGTAATTATGAAAAGGTCTCACATTTTGATACTTTTGAACTGTTCAATGCAGAATAGCTCACACTCATGTACCACAAGATCTCCCATGTGCCTTTCTAATCTGATGGGGCATCCATGTCCATGTCTGTTCACTCTGCATTCTACTTGGCTGTGGAGACCTGGCCACTCTGCCCGCATCTTCATTTTTTCTCAGAAGTTTCCAGAGCCAAGCACAGAGAGGTGGCTTAAACCATATCTTCAGGTGGCCTTGATCCCTGAATGGGCTTCAAGGTTCTCAGCTATTTTTATTCTTGCCAAATGAAC